AGGGACTGGTGTTGGAGGAAAAATGGAAAAAAGCTTTGATCATCCGGGGCCAAGGAATTGAGCAGCAGATCATTGTTGAATGAACTGGCCAGAAGAGGTAATCAGTGAGACTGAAGTCCCTGAGAATGATGACAAGAACTGGGAGGAAAAGGAGACCAAGGCCACAGGGTGTGGTGGGGCATGAGTGTGATCCCAGTGGCTCAAGAGGCTAAGGCAGGAGGATTGCAAGTTCAAAGCCAGCCTCAGCAACTCAGCGAGGTCCTAAGCAACTCAGTGAGACCCTGTCTCTAAATAAAATATAAAAAAGGGCTGGGGATGTGGCTCAGTGGTTAAGCACCGTTGGGTTCAAAACCCTGGTACAAATAAAAACAAAAACAAAAAAACCAAAACACAGAAGCCATTGATTAAGTCTCAGGGAACAAGAAGGAGCCACCATGATGGGTGGCAGTTAATCCTGAGGAGGGTAAGGGTAGCCCAGCCAGGTGGCAAGAAACTTAGAGGAGCTGGAGTTTTCCCAGAGGCAGGTGAAGGACTGGAACATGAAGCGGAGGGAGAGGGAGGCCTTGCTGAGACTGAGGGCTGGGGGAGAAGGAAGGCTCCACGGGAGAGGGCAGCCAGCAGGGGATAGAGAAGCTGGAGGAGAGGGTAGGATGCGGGAGGTTTTCTGATGAGGGACTGGAAATTTCAGGGAGTCTGATTTCAGAGCAGACGAGGGAAGTAGGGGCGGATTGGGTCAGGTGAGGGAAGAGACACTTGGGGAAGTTCTGACTCTTTTCTAGTAATTAGAAAGCAGGAAAGTGAGAAGGGAGCTATCCCTTGTAGCTTCTGCTGGTCTAGCTGAGATCTGGGCTTTCAGTGGAGGCCCACGTAAATGTTTACAGAAGGTGAACTGGAAAATCCGATCCTGGGTTGAATTATAAACCATAATAAAAACAGAGAGGGCTAAGAGCAAATAACAATCCCTTACAACTGGATGATACTTTAGAATTTATGAGGTGTCTTATTGCATGTTAGCATATATTTTCTTTATTTCCCTCTTATTGCAATCCTGTGAGGTGGGCATCGTCGATGGCGAAGGTTTTGACTGGCTGAAGGTCACATTCCCATGAAGTGTCAAAACTAGGATCAAAACTCTTTCCACTCTGCCCTGTCTGAAGTGCCTTGATGAGCACAGTTAAAATTTTGAGTTGCTTTAAAAAATCCTCCTGAAATCTATTCTCTTTGTATCTTATCATTCTTTTGTGCCTCTTTTTCAATATTCAGGGTTTATCTCAAGGACGTCTCCTCACTTCCCTTAGTCTCTTCTCACATGATTTGATAACCCATCATATGGAGGCAGTAACTGTTTGCAGGCTCTGTTTTGACAAGCTCGGAAAAATGCAAGACAGAGACTCAGGACTAAAGACAACTGTGCCTACTTAACTGGGAGTAGGTGTCGTGGAGCGGGCTGAGGCAGAACTGGACACTGGAGGAAGGGACAGATAACTAATTTTCAACTCCTGGACGGGAATTGGTCTCTGGATAAAACCGGTTAATCTCATCCAAAGCCACGTCATTCCAAGCTTTCCAGCTTCCCCAAACCTTTGGAGAGCAGGATGCGGCTAGAAAAGGGATAGATTTCTTGTTGGGTCAAAAGGGTCACATCCCATCGGCCTGCCCACTTACAAAACCGGTTTCACAATAAGCGAGCGTGTGCGAGGCTAAGCGCCACCCCCGGGATGACGTCACGAGACACAGCCCCATCAGGTCATTACCGTGTTTTACATCTCCAGAAAGACCCATTTCCATGTGGGGCAAATACAAGTTTGTTTAATCACATGGGTCATAAAACACAAGTAAAAAAGCAGTCGAGAAAAATCCTCCCACATTATTAGGTATAACATTTTTTTTCATCATGTTTTAGGCTATCTGGGGGGAAGATGAGGTCCACCTCTGGAAATTTTAAGACGTTATCCCCCTCTGAGAAAAGTAGTTGCGTCCGACTCCTCCCCGCCCGTCGGGTTCGGAGGCGCGGCCGTGACGTGCGGTTCTGGGCGGGGCTGGACTGGCTCAAGTGCGCTCTAGAGGGGGAGCTTCTTTAGGGGAGAAGGCTGCCCTGGAAATAAGCCTCTTTTGTGTATGTACATTTTCTCCTTTTTTTTCTTCTCTCCGTACTTGTTTAGTCATGAATTAAAACATATGGAAGATGGAGGGACCTCAGTCCTCTTTACAGCTATGAAGAGGGAGAGGATCCCTCCTCCTTGCCTCTCCCAGTGGCCACGTCCATTTCGCGCGGAGTGGCCCGATTTCAAGGGTACGATGGGTCGGCGTTAGGGATAGGAAAGCCGAGTGGCCTCATGGCCCCGCAGGGAGGCGCCCCCCGACTGGTGCTGCTGTTTAGCGGGAAGAGAAAATCCGGGAAGGACTTCGTGACCGAGGCGCTGCAGAGCAGGTGTCTGTGGGGAGGGGAGGAGGAGGACAGGGAGCTCACTGGTCAGGCGACCCAGGGGAGCGTGTGGGTCTGCTGGAGTGGGCTTCGGACCCCAGCTTCTCTGGTGGCCGGGCAGGAGGAGCAGGAGAAGATGCAGGATTGCCACCATCACTTAAGACAGCCGTCTGCACACGCCCACTCCAAAGACAGGCGACTACTTCTGCAAAGCCCTTAGCTGTAGGTCTGTCTCTCCAGGAGTCACCAATGAAACAGTGACTACCAAGGCACTTTCTGTATACTTTTCCTATTCTCATGACAGTGCTGTGAGGTAATTTACAAAGAAATTGACGCACAGATAAGGGATTTCTTTAAAAACATACCCCGTATGTGTCTGGTTCCAAAGGCAATCTTTGTTCATTGAGGACAAGGACCCCTAATAGTAGGGATTTAATAAGTCTTTATTATATGCCAGGCACTGTACCTGTATTAATTTATTTAATCATCATAACCTTTGGTAGGTACCGTGTAGTGTTATTTGCCTCTCCACTTGACAGATGAAGCAAGGGAGGCTCTGAAAAGTTAAAAACAAAATTTGCTGGGGTTGCAAGTTAAGTGGCGAATCCAGGATTCAAATTCAGTTTTATTGACTCCAGGGACTGGGTTATTTCAGTTTTAGCTCACCACTTCCCCCAAATAATAAGAATGCCTTTAGCCTTCGCTCATTGTTTTTTCTTGGAGCAAGGTATTCTGTCTGGCATTTTTGCTGGGGACTGGGCTAGGAGAGCAAAGAAGGGGGAGAAAGTGGAGTGAGGCTCCTCTCCGCTTTTTTTTCCCCATACTGGGGATTGAACCCAGGGGTGCTCTACCGCTGAGCTACACCCCCAGTCCTTTTTGTTTTTTATTTTGAGACAGATTCTCACTGAGTTGTCCAGGCTGGTCTTGACTTTGTAATCCTTCTGCCTCAGCCTCCCAAGTTGCTGAGATTATAGGTGCACCACTCGCCAGGTGTTCCTCTCCCCTTGAGGGCTAGTAGGGTGTGGTGTCAGGAAACTGTTTTGGGTATCCTGGGGGTTCTGAGAGGTTGTGGGGGATTCCAGGGCAGAGATCCATACACAAATTCACCACCAAGTATCTACCATCATTTCCTAAATTGCATCTCAGCTCTGGAAGTTAAATAGCATTAAGAAACAGAGGTTCTGAGATTAGACTTCTGGGATTCACATCGTAGCTCAGCCTTAGTGGCCCATCTGGTACACATTTCATATTGACTCTGCCTCAGTTTTGACATTTGTTCAATGCAGACAAAGACAGGATGGTGGAAGAATTAAATGAGGTAATGCATGTAAATGGCTTAGAGAATAATTCTTGGCATCTAGAGAAGGCTCAGGAATGAAATGTTGGCTATTTTTATTTTACTCATACTGGTTTCATTAGTTACAGGGTTGCTTCAGGTGAGTCAGTTCCCCTCACTTAGCCTCAGTTTCCTCATCTGAAAATAAGAACACTCATCTCACCACGTTGGTGTTTAAGTGTAGGTGTGAGCAGCTCAAGGCCAGGACAGAAATTGTGTATCTCATTCATATTTCTGTTACCTGGAATCAAATATGGTGCCCAATAAATGACTGGCTAAGATCATGGAACAACTGAAGGGATGAGTTTTTTATGTTGTGGTGACCAAGTTAGTTGAGGCTGAGATATCCCTGGTGGTGACTGGGTTTAGGGTACTAGCAGTAACTTAATTGAGGCAGAATATCATTAGGCCTGGAGGCCTGGTGGGTTTTCTTTCTTTCTTTTTTTTTGCACCAGGGTTTGAACCCAGGGGCAATTAACCACCAAGTCCCAGTCTCAGCCCTTCCCGCTCCCCGGCTTAAAAAAATTTTTTTTTGTAGATGGACAGAATACCTTTATTTTATTTATTTGTTTATTAAATATATTTTTTAAATTATTGGACACAATACCTTTATTTATTTATTAATTTTATGTGGTGCCGAGGATCGAACCCAGCGCCCTGCACACACTAGGTGAGCACTCTACTGCTGAGCCACAATCCCAGTCCCCCAGAATGCCTTTATTTTATTTGGTCATTTGTATGTGGTGCTGAGGATCGAACCCAGTGCCTCGTGTATGCTAGGCAAGCGCTCTACCACTGAGCTACAGCCCCAGCCCTTTTATATATTTTATTTAGAGACAGGGTCTCGCTGAGTTGCTTAGCGTTTACTAAATTGCTGAGGCTGGCTTTGAACTTGTGATCCTCCTGCCTCCGCCTCCTGAGCCCCTGGGATCACAGGTGTGGGCCTCCGTGCCTGGCTTGGAGGTTCTCAGTGTACTTATCATCCTACGTTTTATCCGTTAGCGTCAGGGCTCCTTTATATTCATTTGAATTTCATAATAATCCTGTTTGGGAGAAAGAAACTCTTATCCCTGTTTATAGATAAGGAAAAGGGGTCAGGGGCGTTGAGAGCTGCCACAGTGACACAAATAGCAGTGGGAGAAATGAGGGCTCGGCTTAGGCCTCTGGACTTCTCTTCTGGAGCCTGGAGGCTCCAGGAAGCCCTAGGTTGACTGGGTCCTGTATCTCCCTGTCCCACAGACTTGGAGCTGACATCTGTGCTATTCTCCGGCTTTCTGGCCCACTCAAGGAGCAGTATGCTCAGGTAGGTGGTGGCTGTGTGGCATCTGGGAACCATCTCCCAGGCTTTGGAGATGTGACTGCTGCTGGCAGAATGGTAGCCATCTCTTGGTTTTCTGTGAGGGGTATTTCGGGGCATTTTCAGCTTAAGCGCCTTTCTTTTTTTTTTTTTTTTTAAATATTTGTTTTTCAGTAAGACACAATATCTTTATTTATTTATTTTTATGTGGTGCTGAGGATCGAACCCAGGGTCTGGCACGTGCAAGGCGAGCACTCTACTGCTGAGCCACAGCCCCCGTCCCTTAAGCGACTTTCTTAGTAGCCTCGCTTACTCCAGGTCACCTCTGCAGAGCACGCTCAAAAGGGTGTCCAGGGAAGGCTATAGATATTCGAGTTGACAGCTCTGATGCCATTTGATATGCATATGTCTGCACAAAAAAAATGACAGCTTATATCTCCCCTCTTCCCTGCTGGCCTGATGGAATGCCCTAGAATTTTCTCCTTAGATATTTAGTGACGTGAGTTGTCAAAATGATTGTTAAATGAAGAGCACAAGTTGTAGAATAGTGTGGTACATCTAAATCTGTTTTGTGTTGCTATAACAAAATACCTGGGGTTGGGTAGTTTGTGCAGAAAAGAGTTATGGAGGTACAAGAACATGGTGCCAACATTCACCTGGCTGCTGGTAAGAACCTCATGGTGGAAGAACAGTGAGCAAAAGAGAGGTCATATGGCAAGAGAGATTGAGGGAAGGTACCACGATTACTTTATAACAACCCATTCTCACCGTAACCAATCCAGTCCCAAGAGAGAAGCTTTAATTCCTCTTAGAGGTTCCAGCATCACCACGTTGGGATCATGATTTTCGGTGGAGACATACCGTAACAGTAGAGAATGCAACATTTGGAAAGGACTTTGTGACCGAGAATTACAGAAGAATTAAAAATATATTTGCTTATATATCCAGTTCTTCAACAAGTACATACATGGGAGGTGCCTTGCATTTTGTTAAGCACTGTTCAGGTGCTGGGATGTCTGTGCACTTCCTGGGAAAGATACATGGGAGACTGTCCCGTGGCCCTGCAGGGGGAAGACAGAGGTGGGACAGAGATTTTTTCATTGCAAATGAATTTGCGTCTTTTGAATTTTGAACCATATAGGTTTAAAAAAAAAAATTGGTCGTTGTTGTTGTTAAAATGGAATTTAGAAAATAAACAGGAACTCCCAGAATCTTGACTTCAGGAAGGGAACCCAGAGGGTGAGATCAGCTTTTCACAGAGAAGAGCCCCCTAGTGACCCACATTCTGTTGCATCCAGGTGTACACTCCCAGGGACTTGGGCTCAGGTCAGTTGCCCAGTGTGGCCTCTGGGGCCACACAAAAGGAACTAATCCCAGCTTCTGTGCAGTAACCCTGCCTCCGTGGGAGCAGCCTTCTGTCCCAGCGGGTCTTCTCTCGCCTCCTGTGCGGGCCCATCCATAGCCGGGCAGTCTTAGGGACTGTGGGATTGCAATTTTTTTTCTATGGAGAATCTTTCCCGATGAAGTTGGATGCAGAAGTTCCTTGTTCCTGGGAGACATTTTTTCATTGCAAATGAATTTGTATCTTTTGAATTTTGAATCATATAGGTTTAAAAAAAAATTTTTTTTTGTTGTTGTTAAAATGGAATTTAGAAAATAAATAGAAACTCCCAGAATTTTGACTTCAGGAAGTGAACCCAGAGGGTGAGATCAGGTTTTCACAGAGAAGAGCCCCCTAGTGGGGGTGGGGTTAACAGGTAGTGGGAGAAGGAGGGAGGAGGGCCAAGGGGAGGTACTACTTAGCTTTCTCCAATGGGACCTGAGGAACAGTTTCAAAACCACTAATCTACTTGAAAAATCCCAGATCAGGGCCTACTCCGGATCTGCCGAGCCAGAGCCCAGATGGATCAGGGAGGAAAGGGCAGGAGTTTGAGTTTGCATTTTTAAGACTTCCAGAGGAGGCCCTGACAGACCCTCCTGCCCTGTTACTGAATTGAGTTGGGTGCGGTGGCTCACGCTTGTAATCCAGGGGGCTCAGGAGGCTGAGGCAGGAAAATCGTGTGTTCAGAGCCAGCCTCAGTGACTTAGTGAGGCCCTAGGCGACTCAGTGAGACCCTGTCTCAAAATAAAATACAAAAAAGGGCTGGAGATGAGGCTCGGTGGTTAGGTGCCTCTGAGTTCAATCCTCTACCCCACCCCCCAAAAAAAGAAAAAAAAGAAAGAAAAAAAGGTTGCTGAATTGATGACCCAGGTCACAGGTGGAAACATAACCAACAAGCAGGCCACATGCTCCCAGTGGAGGGGAGGGGATAGCTGAGAAGCAGGAGGTAGCTGCTGCCCTCTCCTTGGAACAGGGCATCAGGTGGGGACCAAGGAGCTGAGAGCTGCTGCAGATGCAGTGGCACAAGTCCCACTGGCTCCTGAGGCAGGAGGATCACAAGTTTGAGGTCAGCCTGGGCCCCTCAGCAAGAACTTGTCTCCAAAAAGTGAAAAAGGCAGGGAATGTGGCTCGGTGTGTGCCTCTGGGCTCAGTCTCCATCCCCTACCCTCATCCCAGAAAAGCTGGAGGAGAGAGGGAGCCTGGGGGGGAAGGCCTTGCTGAAGGGGAACCAGACCTGAGCGGGGTGACGCTCTTCACTCCCCTTCCTGGCCTGGACCCCCTGGATGTGCCCCTCTGGCTGTCAGGATCCTGGAGAAGGGGAGGCCAGGTCTGGAGGCAGCTCCCCCTCGGACCAGGGTTTTCAGCAGAGTGCCAGGATGTGGGGAAGGGGAAGGGACGGGGCGGAGGCAGGACTTCCCCAGGAGTTGGGGTGGGGCAGACAGTGCCGGGAGGGGAGGGAGGACGTGCTGTGAAGTTTGTTGGTTTTTGTCAGATTTCCCACTTGAGTTGAAGGCTAAGCCTGTGCCCAGGGGTTGCCAACGAATTTCAGGATTAGTTTAAGCCAGAAATAATTGGGAAGGTAAAATCTGCAAAGAGAAAACCACATCAAACATTCAAAGACAGATGGAAACAGTTTCTGGATGGCCCCAGACCTTTCGCTCACCTCTGAGTGCCTGCTCCAGAACTCTCTCCTTTGCAGACCTTTGGCCTCATGGCTGGAGTCATTCTTGCTCTACGGCTGGGGAGGCTGGGGAGGTGGTGCGGCGGGGCTCTTGGAGGGCCTTGGAGGCTGAGAGGGCAGTGCCTGAGGCGCATTATGCTTTGGACAGGAGCACGGCCTGGACTTCCAGAGACTTCTGGACGCCAGCACCTACAAGGAGGCCTATCGGAGGGACATGATCCGCTGGGGGGAGGAGAAGCGCCGGGCCGACCCGGGCTTCTTCTGCAGGAAGATCGTAGAAGGCGTCTCCCAGCCCATCTGGGTAAGAGGTCACCTTGGCAGCCTGAGGACAACTTCTCTCCACAGCCCTCACGGTTCCCAGCCCCCTGTCTGCCCTGCCCTGGTCCTGTGCAAGTCCCCCGTCTTTCCCCAGGCGTCACAGCAGCCTCCACTCCTCTCAGTCTCTGGCTCTGGCTCTGGCAGCCTTTTACAAAGAACACTGCTCACGTCACCGTTAGTCTGCAACACTTTAGTGCTGGATGCGCACGCCTGCCATTTCAGCTACTTGGGAATACTGGGGTGGGGGGACCCAAAACAAGACCCTTTGGTGGTTACCCGTCATTCTTGTGAACAAAATCAGTCCTTAACGTGAACTTTTGGACATTGCTCCTGCTCCTTTTAGCCTCTTTACTCTCTGAGCTGCAGCTGCCCCTTCCTTCTCTGTTCCTTAAATAAATCAATCTCTTTTGTTTTTCTTTCTTTTTTTGGTACTGGGGATAACCCAGGGGTGCTCAACCACTGAGTCACATCCCTAACCCTTGTTTATTTTTTATTTTGACACAGGGTTTAGCTAAGTTGCTTAGAGCCTCACTAAGTTGCTGAGGCTGGTCTTGAACTTGCGATCCTCCTGCGTCACTGGGTTACAGGCATGTGCCACTGTGCCCAGCTGTATTATAGGCTCTGAAGACAGGTGCATTTTACCACTCTAGCCTCAGCACAGTGCCAGCACCTAGTAGGTGCTTCCTGAAACCCTTGTGCAGTGCTCTAGTCGGGTGAACAAGCAGTCTGCAGGGGGTCAGCACTCAGCAGTGTTCTCTCAGTGTGTGACCGAATGGAATGAGGAACTGAGGCCAGCTGCTCTGTCCTAGCTGCTCTGGTGCTCACGATGCCGGGGTGGAGCTGCGCAGTGGTTTGGTTTCTCTGGTATCCCCCTTCCCGCCAGCTGCAGCAACCTGCCTGTGTCCCTGCCCTGCAGCTGGTGAGTGACACACGGAGGGTGTCTGACATCCAGTGGTTTCGGGAGGCCTATGGGGCTGTGATGCAGACGGTCCGCGTGTTCGCCTCGGAGCAGAGCCGGCAGCAGCGGGGCTGGGTGTTCACGCCAGGTAAGCTGCTTGTAGCATCTGTCCCCAGGGCTTGGTTCACAGATGAGACACACCCCGTGGAGGACACGGACCCTGACCCCAGTGTCCTGGGCCTCCTGCTGGCTCCTTGGTAAGCCTGAGGACAGTGGGGGAGAGGTTCTAAGGAGGGGTCTGAGGCCTAGGGCTCAGCAGTGGGACGGCAGAGGGTGTTCTGGAGGGTCAAGGTCTCCCTGTGACTCTGACTTGGTCCCTTTACCCAAGCTGTCTTCTCAAGGCCGATGGGCTTCTCTGGGGGTCTGGCTGAGACCTACCCCATGACCCTCACCTTTGCCTTGCAGCTCTGGGGGGGCTGGCAGCCGGGGAGGAGAAAGCCGGACCAGCCTAGTTCCTCTTGATGCACACACCTGCTGAGGGGTGTCCCGAGGCGGGAGCTCTCAGGAGTCTCAGGGACGCTGGCCCAGGACTGGCTTTGCAGGCCGTTCTGAAGACCAGCTCAGGCCTCCTGCTTGCCTCTGGTCACTGTGCCACAGAAGCTCAGGTCAAGGGTACACCCTGCTGCCTGCTGGTCTCCTGGCCGCTGCTGTCGGCCAGGCTGGGCTGAGCACCTGGCAGGCAGCAGCTCACTGACCAGCGCCCCAAACCCACCAAGTGGACGCTGCTGTTCCCAGGCCTGTGACGTACAAGAGCAGCAGCCTGGAAGGGCCACAGAGAACGCCTCTGCTTCTAGCCCCGCACACGTGGCCTCCTCGGAGGACTGGATCAGACAGATGGAGGGTAGAAATGAACACAGCGGGGGGGCTGGGGTTGTGGCTCAGTGGTAGCGCACTTGCCTGGCACGTGTGAGGCACTGGGATGGATCCTCAGCACCACATAAAAATAAATAAAATAAAAGTATTGTGTCCATTCTACTAAAAAAGAAAGAAGGAAATGAACATAGCCGTGATTCACACTAAAGCATCATGCCTTTTGGGTTGTGTGTGGTTTTATTTTATTTCATTCTGGGACTGGGGATGGATCCAGGAGTGCTCTACCACTGAGCCACATCCTCAGCCCTTCATATTGTTTTATTTTGAGACAGGGTGTCACTAAGTTGCTGAGGCTGGCTTTGAACTTGAGGTCCCCCTGCCTTAGCTCCCAAGTGGCTGGGGTCACAGGCATGGGCCACCATGCCCAGCTTGTTTGTGGTTTTTCCATGATGCGGTTCACCCTCTGTGCGAAGTGGCAAGTGAAGAGTTCAGTCAGCTGGCCGTGGGCGGTGCGTCTGCACCACAGTGTTGGAGCCGGTGGGGATGCCCTCCAGGTGGGCAGAGCTTGACTTTGGGACAGCAGTGAAGAGGCAGGGGGAGGACCCTCTCCGCCTGAGCCAGCTGGCCTCCACGTCTGCAGGGCTGGGGTCTGACTTCACCATGCCTCTCCACAGGGGTGGATGATGCTGAGTCAGAATGCGACCTGGACGATTTTGGGGACTTTGACTGGGTCATCGAGAACCACGGAGATGAGCAGCACCTGGAGGAGCAGCTGGCCCACCTGCTGAAATTTGTCCACTCAAGACTTTATTTGTCAGGCTCTCGAAGTGAGCTGGGCGTGCTGGGCTGGGCATGGGGTTGGCTCTGCAGGATGTGGGGGTCCCAACCCTGACCCAGGTGGGGGAGCAGACAGGGCCTGTCCAGATTTCTTGGGGCGAGGGCGGGTGGTTGTCAGGCAAGTTAGGGAACCTTGAGGGAGCTGGCTGTCTGGGGAGAAGGCCCCCGACTTCCCTGCCTCCTCAGGAGGACACTTAGAGGGCACAGGAGGGAGAATTCTGTGTGCTTGAAGCAGGAACAAGGCCATTTCCACGGGAGCCAGGCCTGTTGGCTCTGGTGGCCCCACGTCCCTGTCTGGATGTTCTCAGCCCCTTGTTCTGGGCAAGGACCCAGCGCTCCCTAGTGTGCTTACTAATAAACCTCCTTGGAACACACGCGCGGAGCTGGATTTCTCTCCTTTCCCCAGTGCCAACCTGGACCGCGTGGGGCTCGGAAGGGCCCTGGGTGTCATGGTGGATGTGGGTCCCTGCATCACCTTGCACCTGCTGGTTGGCATCTGCACCCCACAGGTGAGAGGCCTGTTGTGTTGCAGGTGGGATTGGGATCTGAAGGACTTACGCTCGGGGAGAGTTCCAAGAAGGACTTAGTGTCCCATACAGAGTGTCTCCAGAGAGTGTCCTCATGTTTATATGGCTTTTCGCAACCTCCAGATTTCATCACAGCACCCTGTGGGATGGGCAGGGACAGTATTTTCATGTGCATTTAGCATATGCCCAGAACTCAGAGCGGTCAAACAGTTGGCCAGGGTCAGAGAGGGTCAGGTGTCAGGGCTCAGAGTGAGATGCAGCCCCGATGTCTGGCCCAGCCCCATCCGCTATGTCGTTGTGAGGGGTTCATAGCCCCTCAGCCACTTGCCCTCCCCTGGCCAAGTTGAAGTGCCCCAGCTCTCTAGCCCTGGCTTGTTCTCCTCCCTCAGATTCTGCCAGTGCTCATAGAAAGGGGACCACAGAAGCGCTCGATGCTCAGTGTGACCCAACAAAACCTGGCACACTCTTTCCCAAGTGTCTTCATCCCCCATCACCACCATGTTGCTGGGCCCCAGACACTGAGCACACCACGAGGGGCAGGACCTGGGCTGTTCCTCAAAGCACTTTCAGCTAGGGGAGGGACAGACGTGTACCTCAAGGTGCCAGAACGCTGAACTCCATGCCAGAGAGAATCTGAGGAAGGTGGCTGGGACCGAGTGGCACTCCAGGCCCGACACGCCCAGGGGAGCGCTGGCCCTCTGTGCTGGGTGCACTGTCCCTGCTGCTAGGGAATCTTCCTCTGAGCCAGAGCAGATGCTGGTGAACGATCCCAGTCATGGAAGTGACCCAAAGTCACCGGGTCCAAGTCCTGCAAAAATGGAGGTTAGGTCTTTGGATCACACACCCGGAACAAGTGTCGCAGGGGAAAGGTGGGGCAGGGGTCTGCTTGCAACTCTGAGAAGAGCCCTGAGCTGGAGACTCAGGGTTACCAGGGGCCCCAGGGCAACTAGTCCAACAGTGACCTGAAGTGAGACCCCCTGGGGTCTCCGCAAAAAGACACTGAGTGAATCTCAGCATAGAGCAACACAGAACCCGAGGTGATCGTCAAAGCTCCTACTTCCTCCTGTAGGTTGTTTTTATTTATTGTTGATTGACTGAAGAACCATTCCCTTAACAAGGGTATATGGGCGAGGTGCGGGCGAGCTATGGCGGGGCTGCAGTCAGATGAGGAATTGTGGCTTTGCCCTCGACTGCCCTGGAGGTTGGGCAGAAAGGTGTCCTGTGTCACTCTCGGGCTTGGCAGAAGGTTGTGCAGGGCATAAGGAAGGCAGAAAAGGCTTTGGGGTTTAGAAAGAGGGAGGTGCTTGTGGGAGGGAAGGACAGTGGGTACAGGGTTGGCCTCCCCTGCAGTCAAGGTGTCATCTTAGATGGTGTTGGGGGCCTAGAGGAGTTGACACAGTTGGGAGAGAGGAGCCTGACAAGGACAGGAGGCAGAGTCGACCCAGCAGGGAAGGACATGAGTGGCCAGGGAGAGGAAGGGGGAGCTAGGATAGGTTTCTTTTTATGTACGGGGGATTGAACCCAGGGGTGCTCAACCACTGAGCCACACCCCAGCCCATGTTTATATTTTATTTAGAGACAGGGTCTCACTGAGTTGCTTAGGGCCTTGCTAAGTTGCAGAGGCTGGCTTTGAACTCATGATCCTCCTGGCTCAGCCTCCTGAGCTGCTGGGATTTTAGGCGTGCGCCACCATGCCTGGCCCGATGGTAGTTTGAAGAGGGGAAGGAGGGCCGGTGATGTGCTCAGTGGTAGAGTCCAGCAGCCTGGGGTCCTAGGTTCAATCCCCAGCATTGCAAAAGAGGATTAAGAAAGAAGGAGAAAAAAGAGGGGTAGGGAGAACAATCAAGGAGAGATTCCACAAGGTTCCAAGCAGCATGAGACAGGCCGGGAGCGAGCCAGGGTTCACAGAAAGCAGACAGACTGGCGGCGGTGTCCAGCCTCGTTCTGACTCAGCCCACCATGTTCTCGTCAGTCAAACTGGCTCCACTCTAGAAGGGGGCAGAGGTACCCATCCAGGGGCAGAGTTGGAACCTCCTGGTTGTGGGTGAGGAACCACGTGCTGCCTGATGTGATCACCTCCTGGGTCCCTGCGCTGTCTCACCATGCATGCCATTGCATCCATTTCCTGGGCTCCTGGCATGGGCCACCGTGGCCCTAGGAGCTGAGGGACACAGCTGCCAGAGAGACTTGGTCCCTGGCACTGGGGAATTTGCCTTCCAGTGAGAAGATCAGGAAGAAGACACAGGTGGGTCCAACAGAACCTGGCACTGAGGGGCCACAGCAGTCCCCAGAAATGAGGAACTCAGGCCTGTGCCCAAGGCCTGTGTTTATTGCCCTCCCCAGGGGGACGTCCCTCTGTGTGAGGGAATGTGCTGGTACCTCCTTGCTTCTGAAGGCAGTCAACTCCTGCCTTCTCGGGCCATGAGGTAAAGCTCTAGACGGACGTGAATCTGTCAAATGTGGTACCAGGGTAAGGGCTCACTGATAGTTAAGTGTGAAGAACAGGAGGCAGGGTGGCATGGCCAGGGTGGGGGGCTGGGGGGTCTCCTATGGAGGAGCAGAGAACTCTGGGAGGGCGCCAACCTGCTTTCATTTGGAGGAGTGACAGGCTTGTGACGTGGGAGTCAGAGGTCCATCCCCATCTGGGGTGGATTGGCACCGATGCCTTTAAAGGGGGGCCCAGTGGCTGATCAGAGCTGCCTCTGCTGGACTTGCAGTTCTTCCATACTCTTTTGTTAGCTGCCAGTTCTCTAAATATGACTTCAGTCCCCCACGTTATCATGGGAGATTTAGCTGCGTGTGTGTGTGTGTGTGTGATTTTTATTTTTTTTTGGTAGCAGGGATTGAACCAGGGATGCTTTACCACTGAGCCACATCCCCAGCCCTTTTTTATATTTTATTTAGAGACAGGGTCTCACTGAATTGCTTAGTGCCTCCCTAAGTTGCTGAGGCTGGCTTTGAACTTGCAATCCACCTGCCTCAGCCTCCCAGACTGCTGGGATTACAGGTGTGCGCCACCAGACCGGCTGGCTGCTTGTATTTTAAGACATTCTCCTCACCCTACTACTATTCTTTACTAGCTTCGTGGTTAAAATCTCAGAGAATAGTTATTTTTAAATCTTATGTATATATTCTTTTAATCATTTATAACACTAATATTCTTTTAAGATTTTTATTATTCCACTTCTAAATAGCTTTATTGAGATATAATTAGCATAATAACTGCACTTATTTAAAATGTACAATTGGATAAATTTCAACATATGTATACATCTGTGAAACTTATCATGACAATGACATGTCCATCACCCTCCAGATCTCCTGGTATTCCGTCTGATCCCTCCTCTCACTTCTCTCTGCCTCTCTTCCCTCATTCACAAGCAATCAACCGTTGATCTCCTTTCTGTCTCCATAGAGTAGTTTGCATTTCAAGAATGTTTTTTTAAACTTTACCACTTCTGCTTTTTTTGTTGTTGTTAATATTTATTTTTTAGTTTTCAGTGGACACAACATCTTTGTTTGTATGTGGTGCTGAGGATCGAACCTGGGCCGCACGCATGCCAGGCGAGCACGCTACCACTTGAGCCACATCCCCAGCCCCCGCCTTTCAAGAATTTTGTGTAAGACATCATAGAGTGTCTGTTCTTTTTGTCTGCTTCTTCTACTCAGTATAATTATTTTGAGATTCGTTCACATTATTGCAGGTATCAAGAATTCATTCTCACAAATAATACACACACACACACATACACACACACAAAGAAGAGAATTCATTCCCAGTAGAATGAGTGGGACATCACTTTCCTATGTTCATATATGAATACACGATGAGTGAAACCCCATATCAGGTACAACCACAAGAATGTGTGTATGACATGTCAAAATACACTCTAGTGTTATAAAAAGAAAAATAAATAAAGAATTAATTCCTTTTTGTTGCTGGTATGTGACATGACTATACCGTAATTGTTTACCTGTTCGCCTGTTGATGGATATCTGGATTGTTCCCAATGTTTGGAGAAGACAAAGCAACTATGAACATTCATGTACAATTCTTTGTCTGTACACGTACTTTCATTTCTCTTGGGTAGGTACGTTTTTAACTTTTTAAAGAAACTGCCAAACCGTTTCTAAAGTGGCTATGCCATACTGCCACCAGTAGTGAATGAGAGCTTTGGTTAGTCTGCATCCTTACCAGTATTTCAATTTTTAAAAATTTTAGCCATTCTGATATATATGTAGTGGTATCTCACCAGCATTTTATTTGCATTTTCCTGATGATTATTGTGATACAAAACCCATATTCATATTTGATTAACTCTCAAAAAGCTAGAAATAGAATGGAATATCCTCAACCTGATAATGAATATCTACACAAATTCTACACTTAGCAGTGTATTTGCTGGTGAAATACTAAGTGCTTTCACTGGAGATTGGAGCAAGGCAAGATGTCTGCTCTCTTCACCTCCTCAACATTCTGATGGCGGTTCTAGCTAATGCAATAAGACAAAAAAAAAAAAAAAAAAAAGAAATCAAAGGCATCCAGATTGGGAAAGAAGAAATGAAACTGTTTACAATGATATGATCATGTATGTAAAACGTGTGATGGAATCGCCAAAAAAAGCTACTGGTACTGATAATGAGTTCAATAAGTTTGCAAGCTATAATACAAGACCAATAACAAAAATGAATTGTTTCAAGTTGTCAGCAATAAGCAATCAAAAATGGAGAAAATAAAGCTAATTACAGTAGCATAGAAATGTGAAGTAGAGAGAAAACTGACATAACACAGGTAAGACCTGTTCACCGAAGACTACAAAACACTGCTGAGAGAAATTAAAGAATTT